ATGGATTACATCTCAATGTCAAAGCAAAAATCCTCACCACTGGACCAATAAACAACATTCTTATCAACGGAGAAAAGATTGAAGTTGTCAAGGACTTCCTTCTTCTTGGATCAACTATCAACATGCACAGAAGTAACAGTCAAGAGATCAAACGACGTATTGTATTAGGCAAATCTGCTGCACAAAACCTTTGTAAAATATTGAAGAGCAAAAATGTCAGCTTGAGGACTAAAGTGTGCCTGACTGAAGCCATTGTATTTTCAATAACTTCATATGTGTGTGAAAGCTGTACAGTGAATAAGGAAGACCGTAGAAGAATTGATGCTTTTGAGTTATGGTGTTAGAGGAGAATATTAAAAGTGCCATGGACTGCCAAAAGAACCAATAGATCCGTTTTGGAAGAAGTATAGCCAGAGTGCTCCCTAGAGGCCAAGATAGCCAAGCTTCGTCTGTTATACTTCAGATATATTGTCAGGAGGGACCAGTTGCTGAAGAAGGACATCATGTTTGGTAAGGTAAAGGGTCAGAGAAAAAGAGGAAGACCCCCAAAGAGATGGATTGGCCAAGTGGCAGCATCGATGGACTCAAGCATGGCAACCATAGTGAGGTTGGCCCAGGACTAGGCTGTGTTTCGTTCTGCTGTGCATAAGGTCGCCCTGGGTTGGTACCAACTCGATGGCACCTAACAACATTAAGTTAACATCTTTTTGACAGTGCCTGACTTCTCCTTTTGAGAGCGCCTGTTGTGTGTTGCTGTGGCTTTATGCACTAGACTGCAAAGTTGTTTGAAACACAAGGTCAGTGGTTCAAACCCACCAGCTGCTCCTTGGAAACCCTATTCAGGATCAAGACTCAAGGGCACTTAACACGTTCCAATAAAGGTTAAGTCTTTATGCTTAAATTGCATTTAACCTGTGGTGAATCCAATGGATACGTCTATAAAACACTGACTTTTCCATTACTTGTTTGCTAGCTATTTCTTATAACATAGTACAATTTTTTAGGTCACTGTGTAAATCAGGACTGAAGAAAGGAAGCAAATCCTATTGCATTTTAAATATACCTTGGAGTTTCTAAGGTGGTCTTGCGTCTCATTCAACAAAACGCCCTGCCGTGCTTACTAAGACCTGTGCTTTCCAATTTGATTCATCTTTGTTACTTTCTCAAATTGCAAATTGTATTTCCAGATTGTGTTTTATAGAATATGATACAAAGTGGGGTGGAGGGAAATTTTGAGTCTTGTTTATAACTGTAGTTGTTTAAAAAAAAAAAAAAAATGGGGGCCATGTAAGTCCGGTACAATAGTTTCCATAGATACTGTCACTCTGAAAGTCTCTCTCTTCTTTTTCAGTGAACTTGGAGAAATCCCCACATTAAAAACACTACAGGCTTTTGGAATCGTGCCTGAAGGTATCCTTGAAGTGTTGCAGGAAGCGCTTCCTCAGATAAAGATTAATGGTTCCCCTTTTACTACCATTGCCCGGCCGACTGTCTGTGAACAAAGGAGCCAGGAGATATGGGGCATCGAATGTCGGCTGTCATTGCACAGACCTAGCTGCCCCTGAAGCATTACTGGGAGATGTCTCCTTTTACTGTGGTCCAGGGAAAATAGATAGGAAGCCCGAATGCTGGAGCCCTCAACTATTTTTGATTCCAGGTTTTTCTTTTGCCTTCATTCTGCAAGTATCTTGGCATTAGAGGATGAGTTGAGAGAGGAAACAATCAGGTGCTGCTTTTTAAAAAGAACTATAAAAGCTTCTGATGCAGGTATTCCTTTAAAAGCCTGAGTGGTAGGTTGTTTTGAAAATTTAGGAGAGTGAGCCTGTCATTTCAAGGTCCCTTCAAGAGCAAAATGTGAGCCTTGTCTTCCAAGTGCTCTTATCAAATCTACTTAGAATCGAGCTAACAGTCACCACCAGCAAATAGTTTTCCTAGCCTATAGGGGAACTTGAGTTTTTTTCTATTTAATTTTTCAGTATTGCTGTTATATATAACACAGAGATTGGGCAACAATGAGCTATTTGTATTGTGAGCTGAATTGCAAATAGTGTTTGACTAATCTCTTCTGAGAAATGAGACATTGCATTTCAGCTTTGACATTGGAGTTGAAATTTGGTTCCTGTGAACAACACATAGTCCCATAGAATTCACCTAGAAACCCAAACAAAACAGACATACAGAACTGGTGTAGAATTTGAGGGCTTATGACATTAGTTTGAGGTTTTTTTTTTTTTTCCATTTACATAAGGTAATTTTTCCAGATTTGTAAATTAGTTGAGGGAATATCATTGTGGTTTACCAGCTTTATGATCAAATTATGTTAACATGGGTTTTTCCGCTCTTAAAATGATTGGCTTTGCTTCAGGAAGGTGATCATAACCAATCCTGTCTCTATTCTTGAAATGTTGAATGCCGAAGTGGAGATGCCTGCTGTTTTCTCTATTGCTGAGGTTTTTGAAGTTATTTTTATATCACTCTGGAATTGCGTATTTTAATTGCCTTTTTAAAGATGAGTGCCTACAACAATGGCTCGAAACTACACATTTTCAAAAGTTTCCGAACCTGTAGTTCTTCGAGAAGGAACTACAGGGTCGAGAAACACACACTCAAAGCAGGTCTGTGTAGTTTCAGTGCAGTAAGCACTACTTGTTTTTGTATAAAGTTAAGGCTCAGGTGCTGATTCCTTTAGATTGATTGGTACTTTTATCAAACAAAACCATTGAAAGGCCAGAACCAGGCACAGAGCAGCAAAAAGATGAAATTATGCTTTAGAAAAAGAAACAAGCTAGTTTCTTATCGATGACTTCCCCATATGTTCAAAATGGAACAAAATGTCTCCAAACCCATCATTCCTTGATAGCATCTTGTTAATCATAGTTTTCAAATGTTAGGAAAAAAATCAAAAGAAGTACCCTATCTGCTCAAACCTGAGGAAGAACTTTTTGGAGTCGTGTTATACAGGAAAAGATTATGTTTCAATGAGTGCTAACTACTACTTGAAATTATTGTTTACAGATCAGTGACAAGGGCTGGTGGTCAGATCTGGTTGTAGTGTGACTTCCAGATGTTGTCATACATACAGTACTTCCAACTCAAGTGCAGCCATAAGCTATTTTGCTAACATTTCAGAGTAATCTGTATTTTTGTAGGCAATTTCTGCTCTTTACAGATTTTAAAATAAAACACATTTTTATAAAAATCAGGACTTGGACTGAATTGTATTTATTTCTTGTTTCTTTTTCCTTTTTTCTTATGCACTGTGGTAAATTTTGGAGCTCTGGTGGTGCTTTGACTTAATTGGGCCGCTAACTGCAAGCTTCACGTTCAGCGATCAAGGTTGTTTCATTTGCATATTGCAGATTGTTAATGAGCATTCCTCCAATCCTGATGCCACGTTTTTCTTCATATAACCCAGCTTCTTGAATTACTTGCTCAGCATACAGGTTGGATAAGTATGGTGAAAGAATACCACCTTGTCGTACACCTTTCTTAATTTTAAACCATTCAGTGTTCTCATATGCATGCGAAAGCTGGACAGTGAATACTGAAGACCATATTAGAATTGATGCCTTTGAGTTATGGTGTTGGAGGAGAATATTGAAAGTACCATGGGCTGCCAAAAGAACCAATAGATCCGTTTTAGAAGAAGTGCAGCCAGCGTGCTCCTTGAAGGCCAAGATGGTCAAACTTCATCTCTCATACTTTAGACATATTGTCAGAAGGGACCAGTCGCTGGAGAAGGATATCATGTTTGGTAAGGGGGAGGGTCAGAGAAAAAGAGGAAGACCCCCAACGAGATGGATTGGCCATTAGCAGCATCGATGAACTCAAGCATGGCAACAGTAGTGAAGTTGGCCCAGGATCAGGTAGTGTTTCGTTCTGCTGTGCATAAGGTCGCTATGAGTCGGTACTGACTCGATGGCACCTAATAACAACAACAAAACTGCAAGCTTGCATGAGGCTGTCTGCTCCTGCACAGATTTACTCTCAGACACCCCAGGGGGCACTTCTACTCTGTCCTTGAAGTTTACTATGAGTCAGAATCAGTGGCGGTGGTTTTGAGTCTTTTTGTACTTCAAAGTAGAAAATATTTGATGTGGTGTCATTAGTGTGATTGTCAAGTGATGGTGGTGGTTGTGTGTCATTGAATTGTTTCCTACTCATAGTGATCCTGTATAGGATTTCTGAGTCTGTAAATCTTTCCAGGATTAGAAAGCTTCATCTTTCTCCCACAGACTGGTGGATTCGAACTGCTGACCTTGATAGACAAGTGCCATCAATAAGAGCTAATAACTCTTAGGAGTCCCTCTGTGGCACAGTTAATATACTCACTGCTCGCCTAAAAGTTGGAGAGTCAAGACCTGGCAATCTACTTTTTAAAAAATCAGCTGTTGAAAACTTCATGGGGCACAGGTCTACTCTGACATATATGGAGTCTCCAGGCTGCTAACCTCAGGGTCAGCAGTTCGAAACTACCAGCTGTTCCATGGGAGAAAGATGAGGCTTTTCTGCTCCCGTAAAGATTTACAGCCTCAGAAATCCTGTACAGGGTTGCTATGCGTTGGAACCAACTCCACAGCATATAACAACAACAACAACATGATGAATTGAGTGCAAGTTTACAGGGCAGAGCATCAGTTTTACATTCAGTAAATCGTATTTTGTTACATTGCAATGATTACAATCCCCTCCATGTACCATCAGTCAACAGTATTTACCTCTACTCTTTTTTTTATGTACATATACAAAACAAAATATGTATTCATTTAAATGTCCAAAGGGCACACTTTGCAAGCCAGCCTCCTGCCCACAGGCACACAGCCTTTCTCAGTCCATGGACCCAGAGTCAGCTGCTCTCTCTGCCATCACCTCTGCCACTGTCTCTGCTGTTACTACTTCTCTGATTAGGATCTCTCATTCCACTCATACTCTTCCATCTTAATGGTCCTAGGGTCCTCTGTTCCTGAAATGAAAGATTAACTACTACTCCCATTTAGTTAGTTACACATCTACATTTACACTTGTGACAATCACAATTAGTCCTGATAACAATTATATATAATTGAGTTGTAAAATCCTACCCGCACCCTCCCCCATCTCCTTTCACCAGACCCATCTGGAAAAGAGGAAAACTATTCAGTGGGGATTCTATCTTACCCCCCTCCTGAAACTGAGCACACTCATGAAAGCTTGTCAGCCAGCCACTTCATACCTGTATATGGCACATTTTTGATAGCCAGTGTTTCAGTTGCCCATCCCTATTAACTCAATGCACTGAGGAAGCAAGCCTGATCCATGATAGGAAGAGTCCACTTTCAGTTGGAATTTTGAGCAACTACATCTATAAGTAAAGGGTCAGATCATCAAATTGTAGCAATTCACACTTGCTCCATGTATCAAACTTCTCTATCTTCATCTGATCGAGTTCTGGTCAGCTAGTCATCCAAGTTAGGTCAAATGGGTACTATCTGCAAGTTTGGGCATTCTTGCATACCTCCCTCCACTTCAGACCAGTTGTCCACTTCACTCTCAGCTCTAGCCCCCAATGTCCATGAGCTAGAGTGTCCTAGGTCAATGTCCATGGGCTCGGTAGTTCACATGCCTCCTTACGCTTCAGATCAGCCAGCCCTTCCTTTTCTCTCTCCCACGGATGTCTGTGGAACACAGCCAAATTCAGCCCATGTCTTCATAGCTGCATCACCCCCACTTCCACTCATAGGTAGACCAGGGTGTTCACCAGCCAGCATATAAGACTGTTGTTCCCTTTAAGTTTCAGTCTTGGAAGGGGAATTGCCCTGATGGGTTGACCTTGCTTGCCTTGATGGCTTCAAAGCAAACAACAGTGTACTTGATATTCCAGCAACCAGATAGCCTGCTTTATTTCTGGTGGTCTGTCTTTTCAAGAAATACCTTCTGAGCAGGAAGCGGCAATGCCAGAGATGGCGGCAGAGATGATGATACGGAGAGACGGAGCAGCTGAGGATTCCAGACTCATGGAGGGAGAGGGGATGTATGCTTGTGGCCAGGGGGCAGGATGTGCCCTTTGGCTGTTTGAATGATTGTATATTTTCCTGTGTGTTTTGGTGCACATCCAAAAAAAAAACAAAAACAACAGAGGGAATAGAAGCAATACTGTTGAATGATGAAGCATGCAGGGGATTGTAATCATTGCAATGAAATGAACTGATGTTCTCCCATGTAAATTATCACAAAAAAATCACAATAAAAACTTTTAAAAAAGAAACAAAAAATGCCTTCTGTTCCTCTAGTTCCTGGTTGGCCCACATGTCTTTTAAAGTGGGAATGTCCGACCTCAGAAGGCCCTGGGTGGGGCTCAGGATTCCACTTAAGGCCCCATACTCCACAAAGACTTAACAAAAGCCTACTTCCCTGGACAACTGCTAATTCCCCTTTAAGCCAATCCAATCAGTTGTAGGCTGAAGACAGGCTTACAAGATTTCTGTAATCACAATTCCAAGTACTCCTTTCTATCACATTTAAATGTATGTTTTACAATAGAAGACTGGGGAACCAAAACTCCACAAGACAGTCAAGCACCTTAACA